TATATCCTGCCATATGGCCTAAACATGTGGATAAATGGACACAGTTGCTGATATCCAGCCTGTCCCAGAAGCCTTGGGCTGTCTGATCATCTCTAGTGGAGGAACAAAAGCCATCTCTGAAACAGACAGGCCAAGGTGGAGAGGCAAGCATAAGTCTGCCTTGTGAAGATGGGGTCCGCCAGGGTGCTCTGGGCAAATGAGATTGTGTATGCACACACATGTGTGCGCACCAGCACCTCCTCCACCCTCTCCCCAGGGCTGGCACACTCCCTGCTTCCCTGCCTCCCTCCCAACTGTGCACTCAAGACTGGCCCAGTAAATGGCTCCACCCAGCTACCAGGCAGCAGTAATGGGTGAAGACACTGGGAGGGGAGGGAGGAGAGAAGCCATTTGTCTTGGGCACCAGGAGGGGAGCTGGCCACTTACAGTGGTGATGGATGACGATTCCGCTTTGCCATCTGTCGGGCTGGCAGGCTGCTTAGCACTGCATTGCACACCTGGCTGGGGCCTGCCTGTGGAGATAGGCCCCTGTCCATGCTGTACCCTGGGGATCAACACTGCAAGATGGGAGGCTGGCAGAGGGGGGGCTGAGCCAAGCCCTCCAGACCACTGAAGATGGAAGGATGGCACAGACATGCCTCCAAGGACTCTGGTGGGCGTGTCTTGCTACTGAATGCTTTCCTTACTCTTTACCCCCAGCCTCTGGGAGGAGAAGCTGGAGCCAGGCCTGGGTGCTTGTGGAGCTGGAAGAGTCCATCACCCTTAAGCTACCCACCTCCCTTGGCAGGAATGTGTACAAAGACCTTGGCATGGAATCTGACCTGCTGGTGCTTAATATGAGCAATGCAAACTGGACCTGGTGCTCATCCATCTTGCTCTGTCCTTCTCTCTCCTCCCTCTTCTTCTCTGTGGTGTCCCAGGGCTCTGCTGCTGCAACCTGTGACTTCACCTCTTAAGCTTACCCCATTTTCCCATAGCATACCTGGATTTTAGACTTTTCCCTGAAGCTGTCTCCTTATCTAGGACAGAGCATATCATTGCTTAGGACATACCTGCAGCCTCCATAAAGCAAATGCTAAGTCAGTTCCCATCTCTCCCTGGAGTCCAGGAGTCCCCTGGGGCCTGTGGAGTCTACTGACCTGCTCTGTTCTCCTCCAAGAACTCAGTTTAGATGGAAACAAAGGAAGACAAGGAATATCAGAATTACCCCCCCCACCCTACCCCGTACCCCACACCACCAGCAGTCAGCAGCTGCAGACCAGGATGTGGGCCAGGTTCTGGAGTGGCTGTATTTTTATGGAGGAGTTGAGGACACTTCAGGTGATAAGATCTGTGCACCTGGGGGCCTGGCATCAAGAAAGTCAGCAAAAGCTGCAGTAATTCTGTTTCATTAGAATAGAAAATTTGCAAAGAGACATCACAATTTGTTTCTGTAGCATTGTGGATATACTTTAATCACAATACAAAGCAGCAGGTAAGACTCCTATAATTCCCAGGGAATCAGGAGAAGAGGGAGATGCTATTGCTCTAGTCTGGTGGGGCTTCTTGGAGAAGATAGCATTTTTTAACCTCCAGTTCTCCTGGGACTTCCTTCCCCATCATGTAAGTACTAGAGGAATGAGACAAAAGAAAGGAGAAACTCCATCAAGGTCCTGGTAGGATAAGGTAAATGGGACTTGTTTTAGGACCATTTGTAAATGTGTGGGCAGTGGACAGGACCCTTGGAAGCACTTGGCATCCAGGGGCTGGTGATAGCTGAGCTGCTACTTATTCTGGGCCAACACGGAGGAAGTGGGGAGCAGTCACCAGGTCCCATGAAAGTCCTGGACAGAGTGGCTAGCAACTTCAGTTAGATGACTGATCAACCTGGGATTACTACACAGAGTGGGTACTCAGTATACATTCCCTCCAGCGCCTCCAGAGGTCCTGTGGTCACATGCAACAGAATGCTGTTGGAGTCCCCAAGGTATCCCAGGCAGGTTGGCCTCTCAGCGCAGTGCACAGAAAGGAAGATGCAGACGAGCTATGGAACAAGGTGAAGGCTCTCTAGACTTCCCTTCCCAAGACTCCTAGAGAGTGAGCTCCCCTGGAAAGGAGTCCATTTTGAGGTTCATTCCTGTAGCTAAGATCACATCATCATGTTCTCAGGACAACTCAGATGGACACCTTACTGCTTCCACCTTGCAGCCAAAGAAAGTGAGACAGGCGGCTCATGCCTATAATGCTCACTTCTCAAGAGGCTGAGAGCTGAGGATCAAGGTTCAAAGCCAGCACAGGAAAGGAAAATCTATGAGACTTTTATTTCTGGCTAACCAGTAAAGAGCCAGTGGAGCTGTAGCTAAAGTAGTAGAGCACCAGTCTTGAGCTGAAAAAGCTAAGTGACAGCACCCAGGCCCTGAGAACTGGCATACACACACACACACACACACACACACACACACACACACACACACACACACACACACACACACACACACACACACACACACACACACACACACACACACACACACACACACACACATGTGCAGTTCAGAGAAGGGATGCGATTTACCCAGGGTCACATAGTCCCAAGACACAGGCTGGTCTCTGTCTGGCTGCAAAGATAGTGTGTGCTTTTGGGGCACCATTAGTGCCCCACAGGAGGCCCAGCTCCTGCAGGTAAGCCAAGCTGCCTGGGAAAGGGGTGGGTTCAGTGGCAGGCAGATGATCAGTGCACTGTCAAGCCAGCTTCTAGAGGTGACAGCTGGTCTTTGTTTACCAGGCAGCTGTGGGCTGCGGTTCCTGTGGGCTGGGAGGAAAGAAGACAGGCTCCCAGTAAAAAGCAGGAGTATCATTTGGCTTCTCCTAATTGATTTTCAAATGTACTGAAGAATTGAGGTAATTCCCTTAAATGTTACTCTATTTAAATTTTGGAGGTAAATGTGGAAATGAAGGTTAGCACTATATACTGGCGGAACAGAATGATCTGATCTTTTATTTGGTACCAGTCCTAGGTGCTTGAACTCAGGGCCTCCGACACTGTCCTTTAGTTCTTGTTGTTGTTGTTGTTATGGTTTTCTCTCTCAAGGATGGAGCTCTATATTTGAGCCACAGCTCCACTTCTGTCTTTTTGCTGGTTAATTGGAGTTAAGAATCTCACAGACTTCTCTGGCTGGACTGGCTTTGAACTGTGATCCTCAGATCTCAGCTTCTTAAGCAGCTAGGATTATAGGGATAAGCTACCAGTGCCTGACTGCTACTACTGTATTTGTTATTTTATTTTTACCTTATGCATAAGGAAGGCAAATTCAGTATGAATACCTCATTATTTGAATTTCAAATATTCTTCTCAAGTTAAGCACAAAAGAAAAAAAAATTAACACACACACACACACACACACACACACACAGCCGAATCATTTCTCCTTTTGAATAAGTGACTCACAGTGTCCTACTTTAGGTTAAAATAGCACAATTACAAAAATCAATCAGTCCTAAATAGATGTGTTTACTCAGAAATGCTGAGAAAGGATACCAGTCAAATGAACATTAATATCTTAACACGCTGAAATTATCTTTACCAAAGAGCATTAGCTACGAGCATTAATATTTGAGATTTCTCTTTTGCTTGCAAAGTGTGGAGTTGAGCCCAGAGGTCAGGGCATGAGGGAAAACAAGGAGGTGGCTGTTCAGACAAAAGAAAGATATTCTAGAAAGTTCCCTGGGACTGAACTCCTTCCTCCCCTCACCCTCATACAGTAGTTACTAAGCAGTACAGGTTTACACAGCGAAACAGACCTACATGGACATTTCCTGCTCTTCCTCTGGATTCTGTGCTTTCATCTGATTCCTTAAGGCCTCAGTTTGCCTATCTGTAAAATGGAAACAGTCATGGTGCTGTGCCTTCAAGTACTGAGAAGAAGAACAATACTTTCACACACTCAGTCCCCAGGACCCTCCCCAAATGCAACTGATTTATCCACTAATGCTTTCTCTCTAGTGGAGGGAAAGGTAACTGGGCCTGGCTACTGACTGAACCAATCTAATATCTGAACACAACTAGGCCAAACCCCTGATGGTTGTCCTCCTGATTTCTGCTCTGGGAAAGGGAGACCACAGACACTGCCTTGTTGCTCCAGGAGATCTTGGAAGCCCAGAGGACAAAGCAAAGGAAATGGCTTGGAAATCAATGCTGATATTTTTCTGTGGCCCTGGGTGGAGTGGTGGCAGCCAGGGGAAGTGTGTTTGGTGTGCACAACTCTCCTAGGTCCAGGGCCTGAGATGAATCAGGACAGAATACAAATCCTCTTCCTCTCAGCAGGCTCCCCTGAGATTCTCCCCGTGGCTGTATGTGGCCCACTGAACCAGGGCTTTGTGCCAACCTCCTCAGGGAAGGGCACCCTGTGCAGGCTCAAAAATCAGGAACAGCATAAGTTAGATCACAGCTTGGAGCAGTAGCTCATTCTTTTGTTGCCCTCCCTCCCTTCCTTTCTCCTTCCTTCCTTCCTTGCTCTTTTTTTGTTTGCTTGAGTTTTTGTGTTATTTTGAGGTAGAGTCTGACTATGGAGTCCAGGCTGGTCTCCAACGCTCAGTTCTCTTCTGGAGCATCCTCTCTCCCTTCAGTGCTGACATTACAGGCCTGTACCACCATGTTCAATGAAGACACATGCTTTTATCAATCTGGTTTCAAGTCAGCCCTGATTGCCCCATCTCCTAGGAAGATGAAATGCCTCCATTTATCTTAAATGGGGAGAAAAAAAGGGGAGCCCTAACAGACAACATTAAAAACATGAAGACAAAAACATGGAATAATTTGTCTTAGGTAATATACATAAAAATGATAGTCTCTCCTCTGTACCATGGCAGGCAGCCTTCTTATGGAAGCTTGAGGCAGAGGGACTTCCTGTAACAACACAGGTATTGCGGATAACTATTAACATAAAATGCAACTGTACACGTGAAGTCTTCTGTTGCATTGTAGAGGCTTGAAGATAATCCCTTCAATAAATTGCTGTCACCTTTGCCCTGTGAGGTCTTTTTGGCGGGGGGTGGGGGGGTGGGTGGTGGGGGTGGTCCTGGGGCTTGAATTCAGAGCCTGAGCACTGTTTTTGAGTTTTTGTGCTCAAGGCTGGTATACTACCACTTAAACTACAGCTCCACTTCTGACTTTTTGTTGCTTAATTGGAGATAAGAGCCTTGTGGAGTTTTCTGCCCAGGTTGGCTTTGAACTGAGATCCTCAGATCTCAGCCTCCCAAGAAGCTAGGATGATAGGCATGAGCTATTGGTGCCCAGAACACTGCAGGTTTAAAAACCTCAAATGAAACAGGCCAAACCAGAACATAGAGCCATGCCAGCTTCAGCTTGGTTTCTGCATGCATCAAGCTGTGTTTAGAGAAGGGCAACATGCACAGTAGCAATCTACCCAGAAGCCTTGCAGTAGACAGTGGGGGAGGGGGGGGCAGACTTGTGAAATGCCTGCCTGCTCAGACGGCAAATCTGGGACCAAGCTGCAAATCTATGTGGAGTACTTGTGCTAGGGCAGAAGCCATCTTGGTCTCCATGATGCTGGGTGCCACCTTCTGCATCCAGTTGGCAATGCCTTGGTGCTTGCTAGCATCACCACGTGGGCATGGAGGTCTTAGAGGATGTCCACATCCCTCTGCAGGATACTTGATATCCAGGATACTTGAAGGAGGCTATGTGATGGCCCAGGTCTCCATGCCCAGGAGGGAAGGCTGGAAGACTGTCTCAGGGCAGCAGAACTGTTTGTGGTCAGTGGTGAGAACCTGGCTGGTGGATAGCTCCTAGGTCCTCTCCAGGGAAAAACTGGATGTGCTTGAGGGCACTGTTGATGCCTTTTTGGAGTTTTGCTTACCCACCTTAAAGATGCCCCATTCTGAACCTCAGTTTCCTTCTCCATCAAGGAGACACACCTCCCTCCTAAGCAGGTGCATACAGGGTACCCACCCCCATACTCACCACCTCCACCACACACCCTGATCCCATTATGGTGACCCTTACCTTCCTCTCTCCCTTAACCCTCACATGTGCTGGGTGTGTGGCCTGTCTGAAGGCGGGTGGGGAAGCCCACCCTTGCCCTGTGTAAGGCAGGAGTAGCAGAAGCCAGGGCCCAGAAGCTGGCCCTGTAATTAATCCCCCAGCATTCCCACCACCTTTGTCTCTTTTCCATTGAGATCGGCCAATTAGCAGCTCTGCATTCCTCTGTGTGGCAGCCACTTATTAGGCAAGACAAAGACAACATTGATTCCAATTTGTCCTGCATTTGCTTCTCTCTGAAGTTCAAAATTGCATTTGGGGGAAGAAATGCAGGGGCAGTGGGAAGAGAATACCTAAAATTAGTTGAAATAATTTTAGCTCGATTGTGAGTGGTTAAACTAAATATAAACAGCAGAAAGAAGAAGAAAAAAATTCTTCGTAATGTTAATTACCATAAGCATTAAGTATCCCAAAATGAGGCGTACAATTTGTTTGGTGACACTCTGATAATTAAATCATTTTCTCTCATTGAGGCTCCTTGCAGGTTGGTGCGGAGCCTGGCTCTCCCTGAGTGGTTTTTCTCTGGCTCTGGGGATGCTCCAAATTCTTTATCCCAGGTTTCTAAGTCCATGGCGTCTCCCCTATCCAGAGGAGCTGTGTGGTTGGTGCTAACTCTTCTCTTGAGTTGTTGTCTGGGTTTTTGTGCAGTCTGACATATTCAAGGAGCTTGGTTGATGTCTGGGTTGAAGTGGACAAGAAAATGGCCCAATGCCTACCTAGCCATCCATCCATCCATCCATCCATCCATCCATCCATCCATCCATCCATCCATCCATCTGTCCATCCATCCATCCATCCATCCATCCATCCATCCATTCATCCATCTGTTCATCCATCCATCCTTCCATCCATCTTCACATACTTTTTCAATGATGTGTCCTCCTCCCTCCTCCCTCCTCCCTCCTCCTCCTTTCTCCTTCTCTTCTGCCTCTTTTTATGCTGTTACTGGGGCTAGAGCTCAGGCCCTGGGATCTGTCCCTTAGCTTTTTTGCTCAAGATTGGTTCTCTACCACTTGAGCCACAGCTCCACTTCTAGATTTTTGGTGGCTAATTGGAGATAGTACTTTCCTTCCCAGGCTGTCTTTGAAGTGTAATTTTCAGATCTCAGCCTCCTTCAGGCATGCCACCAGAGCCTGGCTTCAGTGTATCTTCTGAATGCCTTTCTTATGTAAAGCATTAAGGGTAAATAAAGATCTAGTTCTTGCTCTTCAAGAATCTAATAATAGATGCGTGTATGTGTGTATACATGTGTACTTTTTACACACACACACACACACACACACACACACACATACACACATGCTTGTAACACTTCTTGTAGTACAAATCAAAATGCCCTATATGGAAGAAGAAAAATTTAAAAACCACTTGAAGAGACTGATTCATTTTGACTGGCGAGTCATGGAAGACTTGCAGAGAGAGTAACATTAGGATGTGCCTGAAAGAATGAGTAGGAGCTTGCTGAGCAGAGAAGTGGGAGGAGGGACAACTTCCCACCCTCCCTCACCTCCCCCCACCCCCTGCCATGAGATAGGGCTAAGTGGGAATAAAGGCATGGCATTTCCAAGAGTGCTGGCAGGCTTGAGTGAGGGGGAGCAGAGTTTCTGGGAGAGGCAGATGGTGATGGCAGAAGTGGTTTGAGGACAAAACGTTGGATATATGTATAAGCGCAGTCTTTGTACTTGACCCTGTGCCCAGCATCTTATGCACCCTGTTACTTGACCTTCATCCAACCCCTACTCTGAGATTATTATCCCTGCCTTGTCCTATGGCTCAGAGAATTCTGTAGCAGGAAAGACTGTCTGATGACTCAAAATGGCTCTTAGTCATTATACGAAGCTGCCAGGCTGAAGGCCAGACTGGAAAGAGCTGGGGTGCCAGGCTAAGTAGAACCAGGCTTTGTTGTGTAGGGGAAGGCACCTGGTCTAGTTAAGGAGTGAAAGCTTCTGCCATTGTGGGGATTGGCAGATTGTTTTTGCTGGTTTTTAGTTTTTCTGGTGGGTCTTGCATACCATGTACCTGCCCCTTGCATCTATGGTCCCAGCAGAGTTACCAGTGCACTGAACTTGATGACTGCACACTTAACTGGATGGCATACACTCTGAAAACTGCTACGTTACCTCTCTGAACAACCTGCAATGTAGTTGACAAGGCTTGAGTGTCACAGGAGGCATGTGAGCACCCAAGGTCACCTGGCAGTGAGTGACCTGGCCTCCTACCTGACTCTAAAGTGAGGACTTGTTCTCCCAACATTACCTTTCCTCCACGAAATGTGCTCCTCTGTGTCCTTGAAGAGAGTACCCAGCCTGGAGGACAGAGTTGTTAGGACAACCCTGTCCAATTGCTCACTTCCCTCTAGGGTGGAGCCTGGATTTGTGGGGAGATGGTCTGAAGGCGTCTCTGATTAGAACTGAGCCAAACAGAGAGGGTCACTTGCATCTCTCACGTGACCCCAGCCCTCTTCCAATGTTTCCCCATTTTATTTTGCTCTCTTGCACGGCAACACTTGTTGAAAGGAGTTTCCTCAGGCTGGGCGCCTGTGACTCACTCCCATAATCCTAGCTACTTAGGAGGCTGAGATCTGAAGATATTGGTTCAAAGCCAGCCCGGGGCGGAAAAGGTTTGTCAGACTCCTATCTTCAGTTAACCACCAGAAGACTGGAAGCAGAACTGTGGTTCAAAGTGGAAGAGTACTAGCCTTGAGCTAACAAACTCAAGGACCGTGCCCAGGCCCTGAGTTAAAACCCCATGACAAAAAAAGCTTCCTTTTCACCTTCTATCCTGTTTTTTTTTTATTTTTTTATTTTTATAAACCCTCTCCAATCAAACTTTGGTCCTCATCCCTGTGGCCATCACTTTGGTCCAGCTTATTATGCACTCTGGGCTCATCTCTTGCCCTGGTGTTGTCCTTCTTAGGATCCTCTGCCTGGGCAAACCCTGTCTTCTTAGCTCTGGTGTTACTGGGTCACTAGCTTTTCTACTACTGCACTGGCTGCTCCTCATGGCCTGGCTCTTTTTTCCTCTTCCAGTCTCTCAGCTTCACAATTCTTCCTTTAGCTTACTGAGTTTCAGCCCCTGCGTTTCCTTCTATTTTTCTCATACATTTCACAGTGAGAAATTAATTTTATATTCTTTCTAGTTAAACACTCCTATATACGACAGAAACAAAAGTGTCACAGAGCAATATATTAACCTTTACTGGATGCCATATATCTTGAGATTTTAATCTCTTCTATTTCATTAAAAATTTGCTGTTCTTCCTCCTGGGCCCTTCCTCTAGCTTTGCCCTAGAAGCAGGCTGGCCCTGTGGTCCTAGGCCCCAGGGCCCATGTGCTCAGCTTCCACACCAGCTCCCACGGAGGTCCATTGCTGTGAATCTAGACACCAGGCTTAGCTCAGCATCAGGCCAGCTCAGCCCCTACACATAGATTCAAGACCTGCCCAGCACCAGGATGGCCCCTATGGATAAAAGTCTAAGGTTTGCTCCTGTCCTTTCAGGGCTACCTTTACAGTCTTAGTCAACTGGTCCTTTTCAGTGAGTCTGCCTTAGGGCTTGCCCCTGCCATTCTAGCAGTGGATCTAGGATCCAGATCCTCTACATGCTGATTCAGGTTACCAGGTAACTCTTTTTGAGGACTCCAATGGCAAGCTTACTTGAAGACCCCACCAGTTGGCCCACCTGGTATCTCTGGGCTGGCTGCATGGTAAAAGACTTTTGCTGCTGAAGTCAGTCTCAAAAAACCGCAAGAGGAGCTTACTTCTAATGAATACATGGCCTCAGGGATTATGAATGATCAGGGACACATGGCACCCTCAAAAGAACAAAATCAAGCACAAGTGATAGTTCCTAAAGAAATGGAAAGAGTTATACAGTACTCAACAAAGAATTCCAAGTCATCACCTTAAAGAAGCCTAAGAAGCTATAAAGAGAACACAGATGCACCACTAAAGGAAATAAAAAAAACAATGCACAGACAAAATGAGAACTTCAACACAGAGCTGGAAATCTTAAAAAGACCCCAAAAAGCCAGGCACTGGTAGCTCATGCTTGTAATTCTAGCTTCTCAGAAGGTTGAGATCTGACAATTGTGTTTTGAAGCCAGTTCGGGAGGAAAGTATGTGAGACTCTTATCTCCACAAATCTATCAAAAAGCCAGACATGTTTTGGCTAAAGTGGTAGAGTGCTAGCATTAAGACAAAAAGTTTGGCAATATCTAGGCACTGGTGGCTCACACCTATAATTCTAGCTATTTAGGAGGCTAAGATCTAAGGATCACAATTCAAAGGCAGCAAGAAAGTGAGATGTGCAAGTTCCGTAGCTGGCTTTCTGGTATTCACACTGAATTTTATCCAAGGGTAGAATTTAGAGTAGCTGAAAAAAATGGATGGAATTTTTGACATTCAGGTAGCCCACTGTGAATATCATTACTCTGGCAAACTTTTTGATAAACAAGGGCAGCAGAGAGTGAGAGGTTGTGTTCTCTGGAAAGAGCCTGCCAGGCAGGTTTTTCTCAGATATTCACATCTTGACAGTTGACAGAGTAGATGGGATATTTTTACGATAAAAATCAAGGAGCCCAACCAGAACCTATATGTGAATGGGTATCACAGATGTGTGTTCTGTTAAACAAACACACATGGATATTATTTTTTTGGGGGGGGTCCGGTCGTGGGGCCTGAACTCTGGGCCTGGGCGTTGTCCCTCAGCTCTTCAGCTCAAGGCTAGCACTCTACCACTTGAGCCACAGCGCCACTTCCAGCTTTTTTCTTTTTGCTTATGTGGTGCTGAGGAATCGAACCCAGGGCCTCAGGCATGCAAGGCAAGTGCTCTACCACTGAGCCACCTTCCCAGCCCCACACATGTATATTAAATGGATACTTAAACCCCACATCCAGGGCTTTACACCTGCTTAGGCAATGGCTTGGTGTTTCCTTTTCAGTCTTGAGTATGACTCACGTTGCAGATATTTCATATGCTCACCCCATTCTCATTTACCATGGTTTAGGTCAGTGTCTTCTCACGGCCATGTGCTAAAGGCTTGGTCCTGGTCTGTGTTACTGGGAGGTAATAGAATCTTTGAGAACCTTGTAGAAAGTCCTTTGTAATTGGGAGCATTCCCCTGAAGAGGACTGTCTGTCTGTCTGTCTGTCTGTCTGTCTTTCTCTTTCACTTCCTTGCTTCAAAGAGAAGATTTTGCTCAGTCACCTCCCGCTGTCCCTTCCATGACATGTTGCCTTGCTGCAGGCCCAAGACAGTGGGGCCCAACAATCAAGGACTGAAGCTTCCAACACTAAGTGCCATAAATAACCCTCTTCTCTTCATAATTTCATTATTTAGGACATTTGGTTGGGGTGATAGAAAGCTAACCCGTCATGAGTTCATCTTGTCTTGTCCAGCCAGCAGGAAAGTATGTTTTCTCTTCCACCTGTAAACTGTGTCCATGGATTTGTCATCCCTGTCTTATTTCAAGGGCCATAATCCAGAGCTTGGATGAGGATTTCAGAACATAAGATATTGGTGTGTGTGCCCACGCACGTGAGCACATGTGCACACGGCATGTCAGTGTGGATGTGAGGGTGTATGTATGCCATGTTTTTCTGTATATGAAGGAGTATCTCAGCATTTGTGTGTTCTGACTATACAGGTCTGTGTGTTGCATGGCATATGCATTTGAATATTTGTGCAAGTCCTTCCTCCTCAGACGATCTGTGTGATCTTCTGGTCAACATCACAGATTTCTTCCTTGTTAGTGGGAGAGTCAAAATGACCCCTAATGGATTCTGCTTCCTGGAATTCATGGCCTTGTGTGGTCCCCTCCAATGAGGAATCTGGGATGGCCTGTAAATCAATCCAACAACAATAACAACAAAACCCAGAGAAATGATGTTGTCCCACATCAGAGTGAGCCTGAGTTTCTTCTTTTTGGGGTCCTGAACTGCCATGTAAAAGTCAGGCCATGTGGCCAAGACCCAAGACTACATGGAAAGGAGAGAGAACTCTTAAAGAACCCAGTCTTTCGGCCACTCCCACCCAGTACAAACAGTCTGGGATGAGCCAACCCAGCCCAGGACCAGACAACTAACCACACACCCAGCTGCCACTGCACACAGCCAAAGAGCCACTCAACTGAACTTCAACTCTTAAAGAGTATTGAGACAAATTGTCAGCCATAGACTGTTGAAATACTTGGGTGGATGCTAGGTACCCCCTCCATTCTCTGTATCCCAACAGAAATGGGCTGCTGGAAGAGAGATTAGGGACAGGAAGTACTGGAGAGACCAAGGCCACTCTCTTCTTCTCTTCCTCACCTTCCTTCCTTCCTTCCTTCCTTCCTTCCTTCCTTCCTTCCTTCCTTCCTTCTTTCATTCCTTCCTTCCTCCCTCCCTCCCTCCTTCCCTTCTTTCTTTCTCTTTCTTTCTTTCTTTCTTTCTTTCTCTCTTCCTTTCTCTCTCTTTCTTTCTTTTCTTTCTTTCTTTCTCTCTTTCTTCCTTCCTTTCTCTTTCTTTCTCTTTCTTCCTTCCTTTCTCTTTCTTTCTCTCTCTTCCCCTTCCTTCCTTCCTTCCTTCCTTTCTTTCTTTCTTTCTTTCTTTCTTTCTTTCTTTCTTTCTTTCTTTCTTTCTTTCTTTCTTTCTTTCTTTCTTTCTTTCTTTCTTTCTTTCTTTCTTTCTTTCTGTCTTTCAGAAAACTTGGCAGAGCTTTATTGATTAAGCAAGCAGACAAGCAGACAAAAAGCAGACAGACAAGCAGAAAGGCAGGGGCACACTCTAACAGAGTGTGAGTGCTCTGGAAAGGAGAGAAAAAGAGAGACCCCCTGTCCTGTATGTATATCTCCCATACCAGCCTGGGTTGGGAAGAGCTTGGGCTCTGGTTGGCCCCAGTCTATGTGAATGGTGGGTGGGGCCTGGTGTCTTGCCTGGAAAACTGCCCCCTCTCCCCCAGAGCAGGTTATAGGCCTTTTGGAATTCTGCCAGCGTGCCACCAGGCAGACAGGCATCTGTGTAAGTGGGTAATTTCATCAAGGAGGTGAGATGCTCTGCACTGTGCATGGAATCCTAATGGTTGCAGACACTCAGCACCTTCAAACCTGGAAGACTTGCTGCCATCAGGCCCCCCAGGGATGCCTGGGCTGTAGTCTGCCCACCAGGATTCAGACCACTATAGAGCTGAAATGAGTAAAACACAGATGTATTTACATAGTCCCAAGAGCCGACAGGAAAGACTTGCCTTAAGAGAGGAAAGAGAAGACAGTAAAATCAGTTCAAGGCATTAGGTGGTTAGAAAGAGAAGTGTTTCTCTTAGAGGCACAGTCCTAGGCCCAGATTGAATGGGGGCCAAGGAGGTTTCAATCAGGCAAGAAGTCTGAATTTCTAGGTTTTCATAAGTTGCAAACATAGTCAGAGAAGGAATCACAGAGGTACCCAGAAGCCTTGACCCCTCGGGACAAGATACTCTCATGTTTTATTTCTCACATCACCTTCTTCTCTTCCTCATACACTCACAGACTCCAGGGATAGCTTCAAACTGTGCTCTTCAAGTCTCAGCCTCCCAAGTAGCTAGGATTACAGGCATGAGCCACCAGCGCTCAACCTGGTCCAGCATTTTTTTTTTTTAGTGTGATGGGTGGGACCAAGGGTAGAAAGGCACAAGCAAGGAGGCTGGGGAGAAAAATGTGTGAGAAGGTAAGCTTAGATTTGTCACCATGCTAGGTCCATCTCTGCATGACCATGAGAGAAGTGTCTCATTGCTTTCCTCTAGTCCTGGCACTGGTGAGGTGTAGTTAGTATCCTTGTGTGTTGATAGGTGATGGCCATTCCTTTGAAGTCTGTTTGGGGGTGAGCATCCATCTCCTCTATCTGGTCGCCTACACTTGTCCCAGGTGTCCCTCTGATGGTGCTTTGATTGTTGCTCTCTGTGGGCAGTCCCATTGTCATGGAACTGGCCACAGCTCCTGCTCAGCTGGAACTTTCTCCCTCCTATTCCTTGTTAGCATTGAAGGCTTCCCCTGACCTTGAAAGAGTACAAAAAGACAAAGCCTAGGCAGGTGGCAGCGTGAAGGACCCACAGCTGGAGGCACCTCTCCTCACCGACCCAATCTTTCCTAAAGCTCCAAGTCCCCTGGCAGGCAACCACGGTGCCTTTGAAGCTCAAAGCTGTGTTTCTGCTCATTTAAAAAACGATAAATCTTACACCAATAAAATGTTCACATTAAACATTGTCCTGCCTCCTGTGCCCACTGCTCCAACAACCTTCCAGCTGACTTGAAGTCACCTGCGCCAGGCAGCTTTCCATTTATTTGCAGGTTTGGTGCAAAGCTGCCCTTAAAACCCATGTGCAAGGAAAATGCTGGAGGTTTTGGGGGGAGCGAGGCAGAGCAATTCTCCAATAAATAACCCGTGGGTCAAAGAAGAAATCACAATGCAAATAAGAAAATCTTTTGAACTGAGTGAAGATAAAAATGGGAACACATCAAGCTGTGGGTTGTGGCTACAACACTATTTAGAGCAGAAGTTCTTAAGTGGGCCAAGAGGAATTCAGGGACCCTGAATTCTGAACTCAGCTGGGAAAAAAGAGCATGTGTGTTTATACACACATACAATCTGTTTTAAGCAAGCTGGAATCCAGCAGCAATCTAGCATTTCCATCAATTATCAATATAGGCAGTGGGCCACCATGGTCTTGATGGTACGGGTGATTTTTGTCACCAAAATTATACATATTGAATCCACACTGACTATTCATTTAAGGGTGGAAGCAATTTATTTTGTCTGCCTTGGTCTCCAGGATGTGCAATCAGACTTGCATAGACACAAAAATGCAACTGGCAACAGTTTGTTTTTATTATCTTAGGAGCCACAAGAACATAAACACTGGAGAAAGATACCCAGGATTCTGTCCAGGAGGAGACACAGACAATGTATTCAGGTTATCGTATAGCTAGAAATGTCTGCCACAGGACCTGGCAAAGAAGCTAATTTATTGGCTGCCTACAACAGCCTAAAAAGGTCTCAGGTACACTATCAGTCTCCTATCTGTTCTTAAAAAATAGTTTTACTTTGAAGTGGCAGTAACTATAGAGAGAGGTCCAGCAGATCTCGGGGTCCTGCTCCAGTTGGCTCTCCTATAACTATAGTTTAGTATCAAAGCCAGGACATCAATCTTGAAGGAAACTGAATACTTCTATGTACTGACTTTATTACATGATAGATTTGTGGAAGCCCCATAATGAAGACATAGAGCCATTTTATCCCCTTCAAAATCTCCCTCGGTCAATATCCTTTCGTTCTCACAACTGCTACCTCCATCTTCATATTGTCTGAGTGTCTGGGCGACTGTGCCAGTACCGGGCCTCACATTCTTGCTAAGCTTTCGCACTCGCAGCTGGTGCTCTACTACTTGAGTCACACTCTCATTTCTGGCTTTTTTTTTTTAATAGCTCCTTGAAGATAAGAGTTTTAAGGGTATGTCTGCCTGGGCTGGCTTTGAAACACAATCCTCAGATCTGAGCCTCTTGAGTAGCTAGGATTATAGGCATGACTCACTGGAACCTTGCTGTTTTTGTTTTTTTTTTTAAATCATTTAGTCATTTTAAGAGTGTTATATATTTGCTAAAAATAAGTAAATCAATAAAAGAATACTTGAACGATATCATACATTCTGAGATTTTTCCAGACTGTTTCTGCTTTGTTGTTGTTGTGTTTTTTGTTCCCTCTCCCCCACCCTGCTCAGACAATGTCCTGTAGATCCATCCAGGTGGTAGTATCAATAACTTACTGCCTCTTACTCTTACTGCTGTGTGGAATTTTGTGGTATGGATGCATCAGTAATTTTACGTATTCACTGTATGTTTAGCTTTAAGAAATCTACGAACTGTTTTCCAGATTTTGATAACATCTTGCATTGTCATCAGCAAAGCCTAGGAAATCTGGTTTCTGCTTCTGTCACTATATTTTGGCAAGTAGAAGAAAGATTTGAAATGAGGTCTTGCTTCGAATCCCAGGCTGATCTCAAACTGAGGATCCTCCTACTTTAGAATCTGGAATGCTAGGATTACAGGTATGTGCCACCTGACTTGCCCCTATTTTTAGTTTTAGCTCTTCTGATAGGTGTGTGGCCATATCTTACTGTAATTTTAAATTGTATTTCCCAAGGGCTAGTGGCATTGAAGCTGATGGTCTTATTTATGATATTTGTGTTCTCCGTGGTCAAATGGCTCCTCATGTCTTCTATTTTCTAATTTCTTATTTTATATGTCTTTGAGTTACTTAAGAATTGTAGTGGAATGTATATAACAAAATTTATTATTTTATTTTTAAATTTTAATTTAATTTTTTATGTGGTACCAAGGAATCAACACCAGGGCCTTGTGTGTGCTAGGCAAGCATTGTACCACTAAGCCACATTCCCAATCCCAAAATTTACTAATTTAATTATTTCAAATTGTATCATTAGTGAGTGTGATGTGTATTTCCAAAGTAACCCAACCAATCCCCAGAATCTTTTTACTCTGTGCCCATTAAACAGCATCCCTGCCAACCTATGACCACCGTTCTCTCCTCTGTGTCTATGGATTGGAAATACTTTATGTGAATGGAATTACCTTGTGTTCATATTTTTTTATGACTGACTTATTTCACTTGGCATAATCTTCTCAAGCTTCATTGATGCTGGAACCTGTGCCAGGATTTCCTTTTACCTGAGGCTGACAAATATCCAGTTCTACATACACGTAGACATACATATACATTTTGTTTCTTCATCCAGTAATGGATATTTGAGTTGTTTCTACCTTTTGGGTATTGTGATTAATGCTGCTCTGAACATGGGTGGACAAGTACCTCTTCAAAACCCTGCTTTCAACTCTTCCAGGTAGTTTCTCAGAAGCAGAATTACTGGCTCATATGGTGATTCTATTTTTAATGCTTTGCAGGACTGCCATACATACCAGTAAAAGTGCACAGTTTCCAGACTCTCTGCATCTTCAATTCTGATGTTTTCTTTTTATTTAAATAGTGAGTAAGCTAGGTGCCTGTGGCTCATGCCTCTAATCCTAGCTACTTAGGAGGCTGAGATCTGAGGACAGAGAAATCTGCGAGACTCTTATCTCCACGAAACTAAAAAGCCAGAAGTGGCACTGTGGCTCAAGAGGTAGATGGTGAGCCTTGAGCAAAAAGAAGCTCAGGAACAGCACCTGGGCTCTGAGTTCAAGCCGCAGAACTAGTGTGAGCACACGCGTGCACGCACACACACACACACACACACACACACACACACACACACACACACACACACACACACACACACACAGTGTACCAGTACAAGTAGTGTGAGGTGAGACACTATTAAGTTTTGAGAATTCCCCATATGTTCTAGAGACTAGTTTTTGTTTTTTTTTTAACAGATAGGTACTTTGAAATAACATCTCCCAGCCTGTAGCTTATCTTTAGCCTGTGAACATGGCTCACCAGAATAAACTTGACAATTTTGATGAAGTTTAATTTGTTGATTTTTTTCTTTTGTGAATCATGCTTTTGATGTCATGTCTAAGGACCCTTCACCACATCCTTATGGCCAGAAGACCATCTGTTCTGTATTCCCCTAAAATTTTTCACAGTCTTATATCCTGCATTTAAGTCTAAGATATATCAAATTCAATTTTTATATAAGATATCCTAGAGCTTGTAGATAGTGAGCTGCTCCATTTCTTTAGCCAGTTGAGATGGTGAATTACACAGATTGATTTGCAAATGTTGAAGCAGCTTCCTGTTTGTTCCACTTGATTGTGGCACACAACTCCTTTTATATATTGTTTCACATGTATTGAAGTGCCTTTGTTGGATGCATACAGTTCAGAATTAGTGTGACTTTCTTGGTGGATTGCTCCTTTTATTACTATATAATGTCTATTCCTGTCTCTGTTAATTTTCTTTGAGTGCATTTCATCTGTCTTTAATATAGCCATTCCCTTTTCCTTTTTAAAAAAAAATTATTAGTCATGGGGCTTGAACTTGGGGCCTGGGTACTGGATCTCTTTTGCTCAAGTCTAGTGCTCTGCCACTTTGAGCTACAGCACCACTTCTGGTTTTCTGGTGGTTAATTGGAGATAAGAGTCTCATGGACTTTTCTGCCCAGGCTGGTTTTGAACCATGATTCTCAGACTCCTGAGTAACTAGGATTATAGGTGTGAACCACCAGTGCCTGGTCCCTGTTTTCTTTAAATTAATGTTCCATGACAACTCTTCATTTGTTTACTTTCAACTGGAATAAAAGGTTATTTTTTTCTTTCATTTTTTTTTTTATTGTGAGAATACCGTACAGAGGAGTTACAATTACATGGGCAAGATAACGAGTACATTTCTTTTTTTTTTTTATTGTGAAAATACTGTACAGGGGGGTTACAATTACATGGGCAAGATAATGAGTACATTTCTTATCAAGCATTGTAGCCTCCTCCTTTGTTTCCTCTTCCCATCCCTTCCCATCCTCCCCTGTGCTTCCCCTACTTCCCCCCCACCAAAGTTGTAAAGTTAATTTTCAACATAATGACTTGTACATCTCATTGTTGCAATGGGTCCACCTGTAT